TGATGCTGCTTGGCCTGCTGTGTTCATCCAGCCCTGCACCTTGTTGTATCAATTTACATAGTATGAGAAGAGGGTGCTGATCGGTTTGACCATGGTTAGCATAGAGATGCAGCAAAAACTGTTAACCTGTTACTCTTGGTCAGTTGTTTAAAATGAGACCCAGCATATGCACCATCAGTCTGAAAAATACATCGTCAAGTTCCTTTTGGAAGCCAGAGTATAACCCAAGTGCCATTTAATAAAACAGAATTGCAATTATTCCCCTTCATCGCATTTTGCATAACCATATCCATTTAACATCATTGCCTCAAACTGTGAAGTACACATTGATTTATGGGTCTTCAGAAAAATGAATCAAGGCAAATTTTGAACTGGAATTACTCATATCCAAGGTGCATTGTTGTCATGACAATGAAGAGAAATCGTAAGACAGCTGTCAATACTTTTAAATTCCTATTACTCAAAGTTATGGTTTACATTTTCAAGCTCATTACAGATTTCATAAAATGATTAAATATGTCCACTGATGAGTGTCCAGGATCAATGTAGAGAATGACCTCATGGATAAACACCTGAGTGCTCACAGCACCCAAGTTATAAAAATGTAGCAATATGGGTGAGAACAGAAAAGAAAATTAATGCAATAAACACAATCAAAAAATCAAATTAAATTGCTCACCTCACTGATAAATCCCAGCTGAACAAGCTCTGCCGCCAGCTCTTGACAGCTTTCATCTGTAAAGAAGAATTAAGTATTGATACTACTGACCATACTTGGACAACCAGTACGCTTGCTTATATTAATTATAGCTCAGTTGCTTCATGAGGTGTGCTATCAAGATATTTCTTGAAATTAAATTTCTTTTTCACCAGATGATTTTCTCAACCTTTCGTGTTATTTATTAATCACCATTGTATTTTGCCTCATGAAATGCTCCCCGCAGCAACAATGAACTTCAAGCCCTTTAAAAAAATTCTACCAAAATGTTTACAAGATATCTTGGAAATTTGTCACTTCTATCTCCAGATGAAAGGCATGACTAACAGCTAATTTTTAATAGTCATCTGCCATCAAGTATGACTCAATGCCCTGTCTACCTACAGCGCAACAATGTAAAATTTTCAACAAGCCATTCTTTAGAAGTTCTTCCAGCAGTTAAGCAGATAGATGAGATTTAGGAATAATCTGAACACTGCAAATGCCATTACGTCTTGTCACAAAATCAAAAAGTATGAATTATGTTGAGAAATTCACAGGGAGAATTGATTGAGTCCAGAGGTGAAGGCCATGCAGTTCGATAGTATTTCATACAATTGCTGACAGAAGATCTGCCTTCAGAGGTAGACTGAGTGTCCCCTTATTTCATACCCCGATAATGGCAACTGCATGCATAAAGATGCCCAGGTTCTTAAAATCTATGAAGCATACATGAGAATGTGATGTTAAATCCAAAGTGATCTGATGCACATTTTCTTTTTTTTTAAAAGAAGAGTTCCCTTCTCATTCTGCTTTATGTATTTATTGGCACCTTTTGTGAAGAACCAAGGCAGTTGTAAAGCATTTGCTTGTTCAAAATCCTAAATCTGTGCCCCATTTCAGTGAACAGTGTATTTGGCAAGTTTTGTCAAATAAACTTTGGTTAGAAGATGTTGCCACTGTAGAACACTGTAGCCACTCTGTGCCATGGTAGAAAGACTGAATGTATAAAGCGATAGATGAGCTGTCAATCAAGCAGGGTTTTTTTTCCTAGACAATATTGACTTTCATGACTGTTGCTGGAGCTGCACCCATCCAGGCAAGTTGTGAGTCTTCAATCCCACACCGGACGTCGGCCATATAAGTGACACACAGGCTTTGGGAAACAGGTGGTGAGTTACTTACAAATTCCAAGGCTCTTACCTAGGTACTGTAGCCACAGTATTTACAAGTCTGGTGCAGTTAAATTTAATGCCAATGGTGACCTCCAGGATGTTGACTGAGGGAGATTCAGTAATAATAATGCCAACAAATAGAGGGGAGATGGTTAGATTCTCCTATTGGAACCAGATACGGCCTGGCTCTTGCATGGCGTAAATGTCACTTGCCACTTACCATTCCAAGCCAACATGATGTTCAGGTACTGCTGCACATGATCAGACTGTTTCAGTATGTGAGGACTTACGCATGGTACTAAACATTACACAATAAACATCCCACTTCTGATCTGGTAATGGAGAACAGGTCATTGATGAAATTGCTCAAAATGGCAGCATCCTGAACCTATCCCGAGGAACTTCTGCAGAGGTGTCCTTGCACTGAGATGACAGGTCTCCAACAACCACAATCATCTTCCTTTGTTCTAGGTATAACTCAAAACACTTGTTCTGCTTTTTGTGAAGACATACTTAAGCAATTTTCCACTTTGCTGGCTATATGCATTGAAGGTGTACTGGAATGGCTTGGCTTGGAGCACAGCTAGTTATTGGAACTCAAGCCTTTTGGACTACTGCTGGGATGTTGTCAGGGCCCAGAGCTTTTGCTGTACCTAGTACCTTCATTCTTTTTAAGAATGCAACGGATGGAGCAAACTGACGAAGCTAAAGACCAACACTGTTGATGATGGGGCATTCAGAAATAAGAAATGTTCTCCACACTTAGTTGCAAGTGTTTCAGTCTTGTCTTTTGGACTGATCACTGGGGGGTGGGGGGCGGTGGTTGTATGTGGAATCCCCTCCTCTGGTCAGCTGTCTAATTATCCACCACAATTCACAGCTGATAGTGGCAGGACTACAGAGCTTTTGTTTGATCCACTGATTATGGTATTATTTGATATGTTGTTTCTTTTAATGTAGCATACAAGTCATCTTGTGTTGTTCCTTAATCAGGTTGCCACATTGTTTTTAATTATGCCTATCACCTCCTGGCATGCGAATCTAAGCTCTTAATTGAACCAGTACAGGTCCTCAGGTTTGACGGCAGAGTGTGGCACATGAGATTGCACGCGTATACAAGTATGCGGCTGATGGTCCACAGTGCCGCATGGACTTCCTGTTGTGGCTCTGTTTCAGGGAGAGGATGATCAATTATAGTAGCATGTGAAATAAAAACCAAAATTGGGTTTGTTTGAACCATGCAGTTTTCGGAATGAAAACTGAAAAATTAAAGATTTGGACAAAGCCCAAAGGGCAGAGAGTTTACCATTTGACTTTGAAAAGAAGCAGTACTCTCTCTCTCTCTCTCTGGGAGTAAAGGACAATACACAAAGATTCTGAAAGGTGAACTAACAAAAGAAAAATACCAGGGTCCAACAGCTCAGCTATCTGAACTAAGGATCTTCTATTACCGTGTAGCTGATAGAAACATGATCTCAGCAACAGAAACCGAAAGAAATGTGAACGTTGCCTTATTCTATTCTTGTAGTTTGGACTCTTGATACACAAGATTTCCTTTATCAACCATTTTTTGTTACCCATAACAACTGCAGATTTGTATGTCCTGTTTATGGGGCATGTGTGTGTGTGTATGTGTGTGCGTGTGCGCGCGTATGTGTGTGTATGTGTGTGTTTGAGTTTAAATAGGATACAGTTTAAGTTTGCACAGTAGCACTGGATAATCTGTTTTGCTACTTGTTAAAAACTAAGTTTGTTCATAAGTAACTTCTTGTGTTTCTGTCAAAACCTGGAGGAAATTACTTCATTGCCCCAGATAACCATAGGAGCAAAGCAAATGAACCATCATGGTGATTGAATTGGACATTTACACTTTTGGGGTGTCTCATGGAATTGCAGGACTTAATTGCCAGTGCACATCTCCCATCACAGTTACAACAGATTACAGAGATGCAGCTGGAGGGTATTAGTTTTCAAGTCAGAACAAGTTTCACTGAAACGAAACAGCAACTTTCTAACAGTCTAGAACTTGGTTTCAGCCAGCCCACCCCAAAAAGGTGCACAGGTGAATTAGAAAACAAATCTAAAAAAAAGACCAATGTGCAAGGCAAAGTAATATTTAAAAAAAAAGAGGAATACATTTATTCGCTGATAAATAACTCTGCTCTACAGTTCAACAATGGCAAAACACTGCAAATGCTGAAAATCTGAAATCAAATATAAAAAGTGCTGGAAGAACTCAGGAAAATTCCCAAACCTGAATTCAATTGTAATAGTGCAACTATAGAAGTGATTAAAAAAGAGAGTTTTGGAGAAGTTCAGCTAGTCTAGTATGACTCTTCAGAAAAGTTAACTCTGTTTCTCTCTCCACACATGCCGTGTTGCTCCCACATTTCATTTTTATCTCCCCTCTTGCTGCCCTACGACAATTTAAATTTTGGATCCACATAAACTACTGAACTGATCTGACAAACTAATTTAAATTTCTGTGGAATTAAACAAATCAGATGCATTTTGGTAAATAATTGAAATTCAGAGGTGCACAAAGCAACAGATTAAAGTACATACTGGGCAACAGGTCACAGCTGAGGTGTCTGTTTAACTTGTCTTCCAGTTTCAAGAGTAGAGTTAACTGAAGGAAGAAAGAATCACAGAAACAAGTAAATAATGTTTTCTCCATTTTTTTCCCTCATAATTAATTAGCTTAAATTAAAAAAACAATTATCCAGCTATTTCAGATCACACACACACCTACGTACCCGTTACGCAACTATGGTCAACTCATGATAAACCCTCCATGATATTTCGAATTGACTGGTTTACATAATTGTAAATGACTGTCAAATGTCCTCAATGGTTTATTAAGCATACCATGGTGATGGAATTTTGACAAGAAAAACAGAAAGCCCCAAATGAACCCTTTATTATTGTTAAATTGCTTAATCCAATCTACGGCAGCAAAGAGACAGCCATATCTACGCAGTACCTGTGTCTTCTTAATGCCACAAGACATTTTGTTACATTACAAATGTGATCATTTAGGCATGCAAAGTACCACAAATAAAACAGAAAAAATGACCAGTTAGATTCTTTTGGATGGTGTTAATGATTGAGGAAATGCTAGTCAAAAGACCAAGTAAACTGCATTCTCTTCAAATGAGTGATAATATTATTTATGCCCAGCTGAATGAATAGATGGGGCCTCAGTTTAAAATATCATCCCAAATATGCAAATTCAGTAACATCCAACACCATATGTTCACATCATTGCATGGGACTTCAATCCACAACCTCTGATTTACAAAGATGAAATGTTCCCAAATGAATCAAACTGACGAAGAGAAAACAGCAGTAACACATAGCACATATTGATTGGGGCTGGGGGAGGGGTAGAGAAATCAGATAATTGGAGAGGGGAATGATGATCATTTAAAATGATCCTGTCTGATTCTATATGAATATTTGCTGTTTTTCCCAGCAGGCAGCCTATCAACACAACCTGATGTTCAGTTCAATGACATTGTACCACAGAGAAAACGTACAGGAAAGAAAGTTTAAAGAAAACAAATGTAATGATAAATTCTAGACCATGAACAAAATAAGGAACAAGCCTCAAATCTTCCTGTTTCTTCGTGGTTGAAGTTTAGGAAAAAAAAACATTGCTAGTTGAATATGAACTTGCAGGGCTATGTTCACTTTAAAAAGAATATTTTGTTCAAATGCCCATTTTTGCCATGTGAATTAGAAGCTGAGGTATGCCATTCAGCCCCTCAAGCCTGCTCCACCTTTCAATAAGGTCTTGCTGATTTGATTACCCCACATTCCCACCAACACCAGTGACCTTTCACTGCATTGCCAAGAGGCCATTCTTCTACTTTAACAACAAACACTTTGCTTTCACTACCTTCCAAGGAAGAGCATTCCAAACACTCATCTTGCTCAGAACAAGTTCCTCCTCGTACCTACTTTGAGTGACCGGATTCCCTCAAGAGAAAATATCCTCCCCACAAAACCCAGTCAAAACCCTTTAGAATCTTGAATGTTTTAATCAAGTTGTCTCTTACCCTAAGCTCTGGCAGACACTAGCAACATCTGCCCTAATTTCTTTTCCTGCTGTGGAAACCTCTCAGTTCCATGCGTGGCAGTAGTTTTCACATGTGGAAGCCAATGTGCTAGCATGACATGCAAGGAACCTTGCAGCAACTGCAAACCCTACAGGGTATGTTGGATACAAGATTAGCCTGTCCAATGTTCCTCCTAAGACAGCCCACCCATGCAGGGTGGTAGTGAACTGCCTCCAATGCTTTACATCCTTCTTTAAATAAGGCAACCAATTCTCTGCAGTATTCCAGGAAAGGTCTCACCAATGCCCTTCGTCACTGAATTGTAACCTCCCTTATTTTGTAGTCAATTCACCTGATAAAACATAATGCGCTATTAGCTTTCCGAATGACTTAACTTTACCTGCTTACTATCCTTTTGCAAATTAGTTCCTCAGTAACTGAGTCTGCAATCTCTACCATTTCGATAATTTTTCTTATTCCTCCTGCCAAAATGAATAATTTTACTTTTCCCATAATAAACTACCTGCCAGGTCTCTTCCCACTCACTTAATTAGTGTCCTTTCGCCATCTTCTAATGTTCTCTGCACAACCTACTTTATGATCTATCTTTGCACCATCAGCAAAAATTGCAACCTCACCCTTGATCCCTTCATCAAAGTCAGAGAATCACTGAAATGTCAGTGCAGGATGAGGGTAGTCAAAGTACTAGTCTTGGAATTACTCATCTCTCCCTCAAACAATGTAAAATTCCATCATGTTATCATCGATGCTAACAAGGGATGCCTTCACGATGAGGTCATTGACCAATCTGATCCCATTGTACAACACCAGGTCCAGAATATCCTGCTTTCTGGTTAATTCTAAAATGTGCTACTCCAAGAAATGAACCTGAAAACATACCATGAAATTATTGGGTACTTCTGCCTATCTGATTTTTCAGTATATATGTAGGATTAAAAAAAAAACCCAGGATAAGCTCTCATTATTTATTTATTTATACTTCTTCATGCTGTGTGGTTATTGTTAGTTAAGTAACATCTTGCCTTCTACATCCTGGTTTCCTGAATTTAAGTCACCCCCCTCCATAGTGCTCATACCATCATTAAATAGCAGAGTTGCTCTCCACTTTCTCCTGGCTTCTGAGATCCTTGAATATTCAGGTTCCAACTTACTTCACCTATTAGCCCTGTCTTTGTAATGGCTATCAATTTGAATTATACATTACAAATTGCTTTATCAAATCATCTGTTCTGTTCCAACTGTTGTATGCATTGAGATATAGAACCTTTAGTTTTGCCCTTCTATTGTTTTTGTAATCTCTAGTCCATTTATTAATTTACTCTTGGTATTGTATTCTCTATGCCTTCCTGGCAGGAACTGTTTTTCACTTAACATCTTAATACCTTTCTTTCTGGCCGCATACAAACTCATTTACCACATCTTGCCAAATTTGATCCTTTGCTCCTACTACTTAGTTTAAAACCCTCTTTATTTCATTAGTTATGCAGCTGACCAAAACGTCAGCGCTGCATAATACAAATCCCACTTTCCAGACTAATAGTGCCAATGTACTACAAACTGGAACCCACTTCTCCCACACTGGCCTTTGAGCCACAAATTCATTCCTCCAACTTCATTTCTCCTGTAGATTAAGGAGTTAATGTAGAACAGAAATGTTGTTTTGCAAGGTTTCTATATGACAACATAAGTAATATTTTATCCACAATATTTATTTAATTGATCTGTAGCAGATAACAGGCACTTAAAGCAGCAAAGATTTGCCTTTTTTAAAAACAAGTTTACTGTGAGTAATGTTTTCAAATAGCTGAATTTTCCTTCCATGCTGAACTCTCTCACAAGCATACATTCATTCAATACAAGCATCAGCATTCACTGTTTAGATATGGGGAAAACAGCCCAACTATGGACAACAAACACGTACAAGAAACTAATCGGTATTGCTTTAAATGGAAAGTAAAGAACTTCAACGTTTTAGTGAAGATCTGTAGATCGGGTTGTGGCTGGAGTTGTTGGTTGATTTGCCGAGCTGACTGGTTTTCATGCAAACATTTCGTCTCCCTTCTCGATGATATCTTCAGTGCTGTCTAGCCTCCATTGAAGTGTTGTTGCTCTGTCCCGCTCTGAATTTATATGGTCCAGTCTGTCATGGTGAGCAGGCCTGCGTCTGGTTTTGCACCATACTGATGTGTAGATGGGGCCTATTTGAACTTGTTTGTTTATCGCCTCGATGGTGGAAAACCATGCCTCCAGGCTTTCTCGTGCTTGTCTTTAGTTTGCTTATTCTAATACTGTTACTTTGCCCCAGTTAAACCGATGTTCTTCTATGTCGGAGTGTATTGCAGCAAAAGGCCACAACCAACTCTCCCTTGTTTCAAGTTGGTGTTCACGTATTCTGGTGACAAGTTTCCTGCCCATCTGTCCTATGTAGTGCTTTTTGCAGTTGCCGCATGGTATTTTGTATATCACATTTGTCCTGCTCATTGCGGGTATGGGGTCTTTTGTCTTTGAAAATAATTGGCAAAGTGTGGCGTTTGAGTGCTATCATTATTCCAAGAGGTTGTAGGAGTCTTGTAGTCATTCCGATGTGTTTTTAATATAAGGGTGGCCAGTGTGTTGGGGCGTACAGCGTCGTCTTGGTATTGTTTATTTGCCAGGCATCGGCAGATGAAGCGGTTGGGATTCCCATTGTTCGTAAAGATTTTGTATGGGCATTCCACTTCGTTTTTGCACAGCTCCAGGGTGGTGCAGTGTGTTATTGCTTGTTTCCTTACCAGTGTATACACAAAGACTACACACACAGACCAAACCCTGAATTACAACAGTAACCACAAACAGAGCTGTGTCAAGCCTCTGTTTAACCGAGCAATAACACTGCAACACCCCGGAGCAGTCCCAGTTTAACTGGGACACAGTAACAGTACTAGGACAAGCAAAACAAATACAAGCACGAGAATGCCTGGAGGCCTGGTTTTCAATCACTGGTGCGATAAACAAATATGTTGAAATAGACCCCATCTACACACCAGTATGGTGCAAAAATCAGAAGCAGAACTACTCACCACGACAGACCGGATCATATAAATTCAGAGCGGGACAGAACAACAGCGCTTCAACTGAGGCTAGACAGCACTGAAGATGTCACCTAGAAGGGAGACGAAACATTTGCATGGAAACCAGTTAGCTCGGTGAACCAACCCAACAACTCCAGGAAAGAACTTACATGATGCTTGGCTCCTTCATCAACTGGCTCAATATTGCAGTGCATCTGAACTACCTGTCAAGATACAGACCAAGAAAACAAAACCCAGTCAATCCTTGCATCACTTCCAGCACAGTAGGTGGATTCTTCACTTAACACAACTTGGAACTTAAACTCCAAGTCCATAAACAAATCAGTAATATTGGCTCACTGGAGCTGCACGATTCTGGCCCACTTCTATTCCAGTGGCTGAGCATCACACGAAATACAAAAAAAGCACTGCTTGTAGGACACCAAAACACTGTCTTTTGAAAAACTCAGGTAAAACAGATTGAGCTTTCACAGCTCTCCTTCACCAGTGCATTGAGATTGTAATATTTGTAACCATAGAATACAATGCAGCAGTTGACAAAATTCTTCATATGTGTACGTTGTAGTACTGGAGATTACATTATTGCTGCAATAAATTGGGCTAAGCTACTGACTGCATTCATTGTGTTATTCATTCTTACTGGTTCAATACGCTGGAATTCCTGATCTAATACCACCACAAAAAACACTTTCATTACAGGGGCTACAGTGACTCAAAAAGGCCTATTGTCACTTCTCAGGGAACTAGGTTGGCTGTGCAAACTTCTTATTCATTGCATAAATGAATGAATGATGTAAGTTGACTGGCTGAGCAGAGAAGTAATTTTGACTGTGAAACTTTTTTACCTTCCTAGTCTCCAGCTCTGCAGGTTCTGGCGTTGGGGTTTTCACAGACGGTGGGATAATAGGTGATGTTACAGTCTCCTGCTGTGGCTGCTGAGGCACGGGCATTCCAAATGCAGTCAAAGGATAAATACCATTCCTTCAAATTAAAGATTGACAGTCACTGGTATAGGATAGCTCGTACAGAAAACAAAACATTAAACTTCCAGAAAAATAATTGCTGGATGAAGTTGTTTTACACATGATCTCAAAAAAGAGGAGATAAAACCAGAGTTATTAAACTGATACCACGTATGGACTGTCTTATGAGGAGAGGTTAAGTAGATTGGGCGTATTCTTGGAGAAAGAGAAGAGGTGATCTTGTTTAAACATACAAGATTGTTAGACAACTTGGCAGGGTAGATGTGAGAAGATTCTTTCCCCTAGTGGAAAAGTGTTGGACCAGAGGGCAAAATCTCAGAATAAGTGATTGCAAATTTAAGATACAAGGAGGAATTTCTTCTTTCATAGGGCTGTGAATCTGTAGAATTTTTTTACTGCAGAGGGCTTTTGAGGCTGAATCCTTAAGTATATTCAAGGCGGAGATAGGTGGACTTTTAATCTGTTTTTAAGTGTTATGTGGAAAGGCAGGGAAGTGGAATTGAGGATTAAAAGATTTGCCATGATCTCACTGAATGCCAAAGTAGACTCAATGGATTGAATGGCCTACTTTGACTCCTTAATGTAATAGACATAAGAATCAAGGAGACTAAATATTTACCAGTCCTAGGTGTGGAATTCTTACCTCACATCCTCTAAAAACTTATCTAACTCCAGTGCAGGAAACTGGGAGAATCTGCAAGGAACAAAAAAGGTTTTTTTTTAAAGTAGTAAACAAACAGCTTGACATACGATTTGAGTTGTAGCCAATCATATTGGAAATAACGTTATTAACTAACCATGTTAGGTACCAGACAAAAAATGGTTCGTAACTATAAAAAGCCTCAAGTTAATTTATTTACACTGGCTGCCAAACCCTAACTGCCCTGAGAGAGTGATTATGAGCCAGCTGATGAACTGCTGAAGCTCATTTGGTGTAAGGACACCCACAGTGCTGCAATGAAAAGAGTTCCAGGATTTTGACAATAATGGAACAGCAATTTAATTCCAGGTCAGGGCATTGTGTGCCTTAGAAGGAAACTTGCAGGTGGTAACATTTCCATGCATTCACTGTTCTTATCCTTCAAGGGGGTGGTTCCTTTAAGTTACAAAAGCTGCAAGAGCTGCAGATGCTGGAAATCAGAAACAAAATCAGAAATTGCTGGGAAAAACCCAGCATGTCTGGCAGCATCTGTGGATAGAAAGCAGAGTTAGTGTTTCTTCCGAACTGATGTTAGCAAGGAAAAGAATGCTATTTATGCAGAAGATTGGGTGGGGCGAGGTGGGGTGAGAAAGGAGTAAACAATAGGTGGAGATAGAGCCCAAATAAAGGCTAAAAAGCAGTTTGACAGACAAAGGACTAGGTAAAGATCAGCCTGGGAGCATGAATTGCTGCTAATGGGGACTACTAGTATCTGAAAATGTGTAATATGTGTGGTAGCAGCCCACGTGATGACAAGGCCTGATGTGTGGGGCTGAGGGAAAGACATGGGGGAAGGTGCTCAAGCTGTAAAATTGTTGAACTCAAACTAGGACCAACTTTCTGTCTCAGGCTTGTTGCAGTGCTCCAGTGAAGCTCACCACAAGATGAAAGAACAGTTTGGGAATTCTG